CACATGCTAGATGGATGGACTCTATTAAGGAGGTCACAGGTGTTAAGGAGTTGTAGGAATTAAGCAGAGCAGTGAACGACAGAGGGTCTTGGAGATGTCTCATCCATAGAGCCACCATGAGTTAAGATTGACTCGAGGGCAGTTAACAACAGCAGCAGCAGCATTACATTATACAATACATGCACGCACGCATGCCGCACACGCTATATCTATGTATTTATAATATGTATCTTCTCTAGAGATCTATAATATGTATCTACATATATAATATCTATTATGTGTACATATATACATACACACACACACACACACACACACACACATATTTCATTCAAATCTGTGTCTTCTTTGGTAATAGTATTTCTTCTTCTTTGGTTATGCATAAGTAGCCATCCTGTTTTTAAAATGCAGATTCCTTAATATCAATTCTTTTTTTACTAAGCCTGACAATAGTGAAGGAATCAGCTTCATTCCCAGGCAACAGAAGGTGCAGTCTGACCTGAACACTTTTTCTTAGAAGTATGATCAGCTAAATTCAGCAAGTCTACTTCATAATAGGATTGAGGTCTTTTGTCACCTTTTTCACTAGTTCACCTCCTGTGCCTTTATGAGCTTCCTAAGATACAGTGATATTCAAAAAGTATAGGAAAATGAATTGGTCCATTAGGAAACTGTTAAAATCCATTTGTGAGTAAAAGGACTCTCTGAAATGTTATAAAATAGTGAGTACACTTTTCAGTTTTATGGTTGAATTCCAGTTTAATATTATTTTAATCACACATTTTGATGTTTTTAACCATATGTTAAATGTTTTTAACCAAATGTACTTTTATTTGTAATTCTCTATATTTTGTAAGCTACCTTGAGTCCCAGCTTGGGGAAAACGTGGAATATAAATAAAAATAAAATAAAATGATGGATTTCTTAATCAGTTGTGGAGAACCTGAAAGCTTGCTTAATTTTTGGTGAAATTCTGGTTGGTCCTAATACATATTTTGCATCACTGTCAATTTAGAAATAGATTAGTGAGACCTTTCTGACCCCTCCTCTCAGAAGAAACTTCATCTATTAATTTCCATGTGTTACCAGATGGTGTAATGGTCTGAGTGCTGGACTAGGACTCTAGGAGGCCAGGGTTCGAATCCCTGCTTGGCTGTGAAAAATCAGTGGGGTACCTTAGGCAAGTCAAACATTCTTTGCTCAGAGGAAGGCAATGGCAAGCCCCCTTGGAACAAATCTTATCAGGAAAACCTCATGGTAGGTTTGTGTTAGGGTCACCATGAGTTGAAATGACTTGAAGACACATAACAACATCAAATTAAATTCCCAAGGCTTGGAACATAACTAATGTTCCAATGGTATGAGCATCAGCTCAGCTGGGTTTAAGTTGAGTGTAAAAGCAATTTGCCCCAATTTCCTATGTCCTTCAGAAACATTCCCTTCATGATCTAGAAAATCTGTTTCAGGGAGTTAAGGACTCTCTGAAACAGTGTGGAGGATATTATAGAGATGTGTTGAAGGATGGAAAAATAAGTGGAAATTGTCTCCCTGTTCTCTTTCCGTAGCAAAGTCCTCTGCTGGATCACAGATCCTTCCATGAATCATTCCTCCATTCAAAGTAGATAACTTGATATTCACCCCTGTGTGTTTTGGTCTTGTTAAAAGCATAGGAGCAATATAAAGTCAATTAGTGTGTAATCTAGTGAGGAAGTGGATTGTAATCCATGAAAACTGATGCTCAAATAAACCAGAAAATCTTAAAGCGACAAAAAATGGGCCTTGCCTCCTCTGCAGTTGTTCATTTTAATTTCAAAATGTTTTATTGGTGATACAAGTACATCCAAGAAAAGAAGTGCCCATTTTCGGAGTACTAGTATAACCATATGAGATTCATCTGTTGCATAATGCTGTTGTTCTCTGCCTTCAAGTTGACAGAATGTAAGAATTCAAATAATCTGAATTTGTGATTTGATATTCTTCATTTTTTTGTCTTTAAAATGTAACTTTTAAAGTCCTATTTTCACATGTAAAAAATGCCTCCTCCAATTTGAAAAATATATTGTAGAAGCATTTTAATGAGGACTAGTTTGATAAGAGCCTTAACTGAATAATTATTATTTCCTTCAATCCATTTTTAGGGGGAACGGACTTAGCAGAATTTTGGCTTAAACTACTTTTGAATTCTGCAGAGTCCCAAATTATCTTGATTAATTTCAACTAAGCTCTTCATGTCCCTGGTTTTGTTTTCTGATGCCTGGACTTCATTAAATGCCTACTGACTGACCTTATAACATTAACTTCGGTTGTAAATACACTGTATGCAGTTAATGCATTTAGGATTTGTTTGCCAGTAAACCAGGTAAGGCTGACATCTGTTTGTAGTGAGACATGCTTACATTTAACACTGTCTGAGAAGCACCAAGAACGCTAGATATATTTGAGTAAACAAGTGAGGTTCCTAAATACTTAAGGGAAGTCAAGGAACATCAACACAATTTTGTGTTAACACTGAGCTTTGGATAACTGAGTCTGAACTATTGTTTTTATCTGGTTTAGTTTCTTTTTAAAAGTGGCATTTATAGATGAATGTGAAACAGAAATTACAATGGGAGTGAAACTGAGTCGATCAAGAAGTGCATTATTCTTCCTGCATGTAATTATTAGACAATTTCCACTTTCTTAAGAAGGTCTTACTCTCAATTATTTGCTAGCGAATAAATGAGTATACTAATAATAATACTGGGGTCTTAGTCCTGTTTCCATAATAGGTGGCTCACAAGAGATCTTTGGTAATTCAGTCTCAATACCATATGTTCCTGTTGACATTAAAGTGCTTAGTTCCAAATGAGTCGGCTTCATTCAGGCATCTTAATTCAAGAGTGGATGATTAGATCTTAAGCTAAGAACCTATTAGGAGGTAAGCAGTTATGTTAGTGAGGAATTAAAGGAACATCATAGTGCAGTTGCAAATAAATCCTCTGAATCTAGTTTGGTAAGTCAAGCCGTGTTTGGTTTTCATACAGTTTTTAAAATAATGTAAATGTTCAAAGTTGATTACATTCCAAGAAATTATAATTGGATGTAACACAGACAGGTTTTTTTTTTCATCATAAGAACTGAAACCTACAAATTACAGAGAGATGAGTATCACCTGTCAAAGTGTCTCCATAGGAAGGAGTGTAAAACCATGTGGTGTGATATCAACACTTTCTTTTCCTCACCCCACAATTGTAGCCAATGAAGCAAAGCAAAATATATGGAAACAGTACAATACAAGGTTGTGACATCATATATTTATATTGTTATTTATTTTGTAAATTTATATTTGATTTGTAATAAAATGCAAAGGAATAAAGTCAGTACAATGGAGCAAAATTAGATCAACTGTAATAAAAGAAGTTGCTCAAGGAGCAAACAGATTGACCCAAAAGCATGGGAGAACAAAAAAGCAGATCCCAGAAAGTTACTTTACAGACAAATAGGTCTCAGGGGATCATCCTGGCACTGCACTGTTATGGGTGATTTCAGCATGTCATTATATTCATTTCTCCAAGTTCTGAATGTCTTTTCCTCCTGCTGCTCCCTTCCTGTAAAATGTAGCACCTGGTGAGTGAGTTCCATAAATGGGGTGCCATCACCAGAAAAGCCTTCTCCCTGGTTGCATCTGCTTCATCCGCATGAGAAGTCTATGCTTATGATATCTTGTAATGGGCAAGACGACAGGGGATTAATCCTTATCGTCTATCCCCACATTCTGTGGGGTTTTAATGGTAAGCACCAACATTTTGAATTGTGCCCAGAAATGGATCTGAAGCCCATGTAGTTTTCCAGTTAAACATCACTAGGGAAATGAGGGGCAAGCCATGGTTTAGTGACACCCATACACTTCTTTGTAATTAATAGTTCGGGAATTGAGATATGAGAAATCCAAGGATAGTATCTAATAATGGTTGCAGGAGCAGAAAGGTTCTTGGGTCCAGGAATTAGGTAAACAGCCTGTCCTGGATGGGGTTGCATTCCCCATGAAGGACAAGGAAGTAGCTTGGGAGTGCTCCTAAATCCACCTTTGTCACTGGTAGCCCAGGTGCCCCAGAATGCTTAGTGCCAGCTTCAACTGGTACACCAGCTATGGTCTTTCCTGGACAGAGATAATTAAGTCCATGCACTGGTAACCTCCTGATTAGCCTCCTGATTAGTCTACTGTAATGTGCTATATCGGGGCTGCCCTTGAAGATAACTTGGGAGGTGTAGCTTGTGCAAAATGCAACAGTTTGACTGCTGACTGGAGAACCATATAGGCAGCATTTCATGCCACTCTTAAAAACATTGCCCTGGCTGCCAGTATGTTTCTGGTCTGAATTCAAGGTCCCTGTAATGGCATTGAAAGGCCTAAATGGCTTGGAACCTAGATACCTGAGGGAACACCTCTCCCCATATGTATCTACTCAAGGATCTGTTGGTGGGGGCTCTTTCATTTTCCACCAGTGGGATTGATACACTGTGTTGGCACCATGGGCGAGAGCCTTATCAGCTATGGTGCCTCAATTGTGGGATGCTCTCCCCCTGGGGGCCCAATTGGCACCATATCATTTACGCACCAAGTTAAAATGTGGCTGTTCATCAAAGCCTTCAGTCCTCATTAACTCATCCCAAATACAGTGTACATAGGTTTTAAACACATTTTAAATAAGATGAGATCCGTCTTATTACCACCTTGAACAGCTTCAAAAGGGCTGTTAAGATGGATGAATAGTTCTCCGGCCCCTAGACCTAGACTCAGGGCCTCTGCAGACGGCGCAAAGTGCCATCTTGGAGGCACGGAAGGGGAGGGGCAGCCGCACGGCGGCCGCCTCAACCCCTCCCCGAAGATGTCCTCAGGGCATGCGCCGTTACTCATGGCGTGCACCCTGAATGTCCTCCTGGCACAGCGTCTTCACGCGCTGTACCGGAAGAGGCGCAGAAGAGCCGCATGGTGGCTCTTGATGTGTCCCTTCTGCTGGCTCTGAAAGGACTGGCATTTTAGTGCTCCTTTCTGGGCTGGCAGAAGGGAGGATTGGGGCTGAGGCATGGGGCAGCCTTGGCCCCAATCCTCCACTTCCCAGGGCGGCCCATGGCCGCCCGCCTGCATCCCCCCTTAGTCCATCTTCTCTCCCTTTTTGTGCTGCTGTTATTGTAATTGTTCTTATGTTATTTTAATCTGCTTTTAAATCGTTCTTTGTTTAATATTTTTTTAAGGGGTGGGAGGGTTCTAGGGTTTTGTATGTATTTGTTTTGGTTTTAATATTGTAAGCCGCCCCGATTGTGTTGCAGAGAGGCGGGATAAAAATAAATTTTATTATTATTAATATTATTTTTAATTTGTTTTAAACATATTACTGAATATGTTTTAGTTAATTTAATTATTTTATTGCTTTAAATTGTGCAACTTATTTTAGTACTTTTTAATTCTCTGAGATCTTTGATATAGGGTGAAGTATAAATGTGGCTCATGTAACTATTTCCTTTAACCTTCAGCCTCTTCACAACTCCTGGAAATCCCTTCCATAGGGATTAAAATAAGTTACACAGTTGGAGGGGGATGGGGGGTTTGTCCCTGAACTGAAGCAATTGGGCCATACTGCTTTGAAGTGTGATAGAAGAATTGCCCATAATCAGATGAAGTAATGTTGCGTAGGCTCTATGAGATTGGAGATATGTGGGGATGTGGTGGCTCTCAACTAGTCCTGTTGCTTAGTTTATAAAATAAAATTGGCAATATTGACAAAGTTAATCTGTCATTGCTTTTTTTAATGTTTCAGTTTTTTTAGAATGCAACAGGATTGTCATTTGGGGAGGGTGATTTATGGGCAGCCCATCCAAATTTAACTGTGCAGGCTCTCAAATTCAGGATATTATTATGTTCAGCATCAGGGCATAACATCTGGTTGCTGTGTAGCATGAAGACCCATAATTTATTTTCTTAGGCTCAGTGATATGGAGATATTATTAACCTTTATGTCATGTCAACTAATTTGCTACACCGTAATCTGATTATGGGAATCTCATAGGTTTGTATGAACCCATGCCATCTTGCATTTTTGCAGGATTTATATATTTTTTATTTTAGTCATTTATATCCTGCCTTTCCCCCAATACTGGGACTCAAGGCGGCTTACA